TCTTGCCCCCTCTGCCGGGCGCCTCCAGCTCTGTCTTCTCACCGGGTGACTTGGTCCACAACCTTCATTCCTCACCCTCCCCCCGCCCCTCCCCGCCTTCCCTAAAGTGCCCGTGGTCTTCAGGCTCTCTCTAACCTTCACACCCACCCTGGATACACTCAGGCTCCCCAGGCCTCACACGGGGCCCTTACACCGTAACTCCCCTGCCGCCCCGAGCGCCTCCTGAGGGCCAGACCCGAGCATCCCACTGCCCACAACTTTTGGACTCCGCCAGGAGAGCCCGAGGCCCCCCAAATCCAGTGCGTCCAAAATCAAGCTCATTTTCAACTCGCCTGCAAACTTGTGTGCGCTCCTGCGGGCAATCGGTTATTGATCTTACTTCCCACCCCCACACCCACACCCACACCCAGGAAGGGCGCCGATACCCTCCTCCTGGACCCTTCCCGGCACTCCTGCGGGTAGTAGTGCTGCCAATTCTGCTTCCAGAGCTTGGCTTCTCTCCACCCCGAAGTCAGGCCCGAGTGGATCCCTCCTCGCAGCCTACTCCCATCACCTCTCCCTCTGTCTCCACTCACTGCCCCATCGATCTTCCCTAGTCCTCACCAACTCCGTCGTTCTAGGACACGCTGGCTGTGCCATCCCCTCACCCAAAAACCTTTGCTAGCAGTCACCAGACAAGGTAGTTAAGGCTATCAGGCAACCGGTAAAGATGCTTGCAAAATAATGTTAAGCAAAAAACAAAACATGGAGGTAACTGCTAAAGGATGGAGGATTTCTTTTGGGGGCGACAAATATATTCTAAATGTGATGGTTGCACAGCTCTGTAATACACTAAAAAAAGTACTTAATTATACACTTCAAACAGGTGGATTGTATGGTACATGAATTATATCCCCATGTGGCTGTAATAACAACAAAACCCCTCAGCCTCCAGGCGGGAACATTACTGTCTGTCTCTGTAACAACAAGGCCGCAAAGTCTCCAAAGCGATCGCAGTGGAGGTCCTGGCCGGTGAGATTATTATAGGGGACTGTTGTCTCCGTTTTCCGTGTGGTTTTTTACTTCTATAATAACAAAACTTGATTTTATGTTAAAATATTGAAGAGACCACAGATTGCACGCCGAGTTCAATCCCCCTCACCTTCTCCCCCACCCATGTTCCCACAGCACTTGACACAAACTACTGTCACCACGTGTATGATAAACTGGAACCGCAGAGGGACCAAGGGACTTGCCCAAGCACTTCTTTGGAGCTGGTGGAGGGTGGAAGAGTTACGGGGCTTCCTGGGGAGGAAGCAGAGTGGGGAGGTATTGGGGAGGGAGCCATGCTGGGCGAAGGTGGGGCAAGAGGCTTGGGCAGGCACAGCCATATCTGGGCGAGTAGAGAAGGGAAGACGGTCTGCAGGGAAGGCTTCAACCGCTAGGCTGGAGCGTTGAGTGGTTCTGCTGGAGGCGCAGGGCCCCAGCCCAGGAAGATCTCCAAGCAGGTGACGATGGACGATGGACGCGAGCATTACCTGGCAGTGTGGCTGCAAGTTGGCAGAGGGAGAGGAGGCGGCAGGATGGAAGCCAGCGGGTTGTTGTGAGTGCTTCCCACATGCCCTGCACCTTCAGGCCCTGGGCTCAGCTCCACAATTTTCTGTGCCTGGAATTCCCGGTTCTCCTCACCAGAGCCCGTCCTCCTTGAGGAAACAAAATCGTCTGAGTAGAAAGGGTCCCCATTACAAACCTCCCCCCCCCCCCCCCCCGTGCAGTCCACTGAGTTCCCCGTGACTGGTGTCCACCCCTGGACAGCCATCAGCAGAGCCTCCCTCCTCTCCTCCTCTCCCAGCCCAGCCCACACCTAGCACAGGGCTCTTTTACTCACACGACCACCTCCCCTCTCCACCAAGTTTATGTGAAACAAATTGTTATCCTGACCTCATCAATCCCAAGTCTGGACCTCACACTGGGATTTAAACTGGACTCACAGAAGCCAGGGAGGTGGCAGTAGTGGTAACAGGCAATTATTGTTGAGGAAACACAAGAAGAAAAGGTGGAGGCTGGAGGGAGTCATGAGCTTTAGGATTAAAAGCTCCAGGTCTCAGGAACAGAGGACTCAGATTCCTAACTCTGAGGTTGACCTTGGACAAGTTAATTAGCCGTGCGTAAGACGGAATAACAATACCAACTGTACAAGGGTCACTCTGAAAAGGGGCTGGGGAACCATCTACCATGTAACCTATGACAGTGATTGAGAGCATTTGGATGAATTAGGTTAGAGCCCTAGAAACCTGAGTGGGTCTTTAACTGGTGAAAGTGGAAGGGCACATTTTGTGGCCCTCTGGGACCCTCTGTGGACCCCTTGCAGATGGCTGGCACCCACCCTGTCATCTCCCACTCCTGCTCCATCTTGCCTCAGCTGCCAGAGCAGAATCCAGGTGGCATCCAGATGGCACCACAGCAATGCAGTGCTCAGAGATGTTGTCAAAGACCCAAGCCCTCTCGTCTTTGGCTCTGCTGTCTTTAATCCTAAGCTTATTGCCTCCTGGTCACAGGAAGGTTGCCACAGATGCAAGCATTACTTCCTCAAGCAACCACAGTGAACGCAGACGTGGGCTAGCTTCTCCCATCGTTTGTCATCATTTGTCCTGGATCACATGCTACTCTACACTGAATGTGAGCGCGGGGAATGGAATTATGCCTGGGTCAGACCAAACATGTCTGCCCCCAATATGTTGTCATCAATAATCTTGTGGTTCTGCAAACTAAACAGGAAGGGAGGACAATGCACATTATCTTTCACTGTCTGTGTGACTGTCAGAGGGAATTTTCAACTGATAATCGGTGTCCCAGGCCTCACTGGCTTGTACATAAAGATTGGTTCTTGGGGGATTAAAAATGGTGGCAGTGTAAGTGGAAGCTACACTGATACTCTCCCAGGACCAAACTGAAAATACAACTAAAACACAGAAAAACCACCCTGAAAATTCAACTGAAGACTAGCTGGAGAGAACCCTGATAATCAAGTACGGAAAGTGGAGACCGCATAGAGACTGGCGGGAGGGAGGAGATGCTAAAGGCTGGCTGGGCGCCCACAGACAGCAGCTGAAGGTTTAGAGCAGCGGTTCTCAACCTGTGGGCCGCGACCCCTTTGGGGGTCGAACAACCCTTTCACAGGGGTCGCCTAAGACCATCGGAAAACACATATATAATTACATATTGTTTTTGTGATTAATCACTATGCTTTAATTCTGTTCAATTTGTAACAGTGAAATTGGGGGTCACCACAACATGAGGAACTGTATTAAAGGGTCGCAGCATTAGGAAGGTTGAGAACCACTAGTTTAGAGGAATAGTTCAGCTGTGTAGGGTTCCCGCTGAGAACTCTGAGGTCTAACCCCCAAGCTGGGCTCTGAAGCCCAGAGCACCAGAACTGAGAAAGGTGTCCACAGAACATCTGGCTGTGAAAAGCAGCAGGGTTGCTGTCTGCCAGGGAAAGATGGCTGGAAATGTAGGCACCCTCTTAAAGGGCCAACACACAAAATTTCAAGTGCAGCCACTCACCTTGGACCCCAGCAGAGGAGGGTAGAGTGGACTGGAGCTGTGTGAGGAGAGTCCAGGGTTGGGAGCTCTGGGGTTGGAGCCACCTGTTTCCTGTGCTGAGTCATTTCCTCATGCTGGAGAGGACATCTTTCTCCTACCTCAGCTATCCAGGTGGTTTTGGCCTGGGGGAAAGGCAGTCACCACACCCTGTTGGAAGAGCTTTCACTCCACCCTGTAGTCCATAGCCTAAGGCCAATCAAGGCTAATTACAATCACACTGCAGGCAGAGGAAGATCTTTGGAGGCTTTGTCTTTGCCTTAACTCCTTCTGGGCCTGGGGCTTGAAAAGGCAGAGTCTGGTGCATATCTTGGTCCTTTCCAAAGGCACCCAGCCACAACAGAGGGAGCCACAAGCTGTGCATTGCTGATGGCTCCAAACAGGGTACTCAGGGCCAATCAGAAACAGTGTCTGACATTGTCCTGCACTAGAGATTGGGAGTCATAGCAGATCTACCTAAAACACAGACACAAACTCAAACAGGC